TTGATCCAATCTTTGGTGCCCTCAAGATTGTCCCCTTCTCCGCCTCAAACTCTCAACTTGAAATCCCAACAGAATTTGGCCTTTCAGTTCCAAGTCATTTGACAATATTTTTCCTTCTTTGGGGACCATCACTTCCACCCTAGGTGGGACTCTGCTGTTTGATCTAGCTAATTTCATCTTCTGAAATCTACATTTTCATCCGTAATCAATTTGAAAAAAAGTTAGCCGCTGATAGGAGTCAGAATTTTATTGAAAGACTGCATACCTTAAATATCCTTAGGATCAGCTGTTTATCGATTTGATATCCGAGAAGATTTATCAGCACCCCGGTGAGGGATTGAAGAGAGTGATGTGAATGTTGATTGTTGATGATTCTAGGTTGAGAAGGATTTTCGTGGTTACTTTGAAGGGTAGCTATCTCGGCCGCAGGGCCGTGTTTCCATTCTTCTCTCTTGAGTGGCACTGTCGCTAAGGTTAGGAGCTGGAGCAGCCCAGCCTTGACACTGGTAAATTTCTGCAGCACTTTTGGCCTGGGCTGTACTTGGGGAAGATTCACTGGCATATGTGGTTGGAGTCAGTATTTCTCTGGGCTGGGCTGACATTTCCAGGCCTTTGAGCGGAATTGTCTCGCGCAAACGGATGCTGATAGTGGGCCAAAATAAATCATTGCATGGTCAGACAAGCGAGCAAGCGAAACAGTACGTTATTAACTGTAACCAATCTACATTCACGCAAGGGATGGGGCTGTTGGTTTTTGAGCCATACTCCGCGTGTGGAACATGGCATGATTGCTGTCCTCTGAGCGACTCCGCAACTAGAAATATAATCAAGATGAGGGTAGTGATGTACGTTTCACTATTTGGCTTCTTAGCCTTTATGAATTTCATACTCTTCACTGGTGCACGATATTCCCATTTTATTTCTGTCTAGTCACCTAAAACCTTTTTCAATTTCCCCATGAAGTGAAGAGACTTCTCTTCGGCCGGACTCGAAGGTAAGTAATTGACTGTTCTGAAATCCGCGGAACCCGTTTGAGCATCTAGCAGGTGATGGTCCTGGCTGAGATATGCTTGGCAACGGGTAGGAAAGGGATTACTGATGAATATTTCACCATTCCTTATGGAGAACTTGAGCCTCCAGTTCATGTCTTTGCGGAGAAATCATTCTGCATCCGTATTTATCTTTGAGGGATCACAGAGGTCACCTCTGAGCGATACTTCGTATGTCCAAATCTGATAATGAGGAGGGGCTGGATAGGCTATGCCCGATCGTAATGCACCATGGCTACACAAGACTAACGCACGCCAAGCAAGTGCATGTGCCACTTTCTGTAGTGGGAAGAGCTGATATTCGATTTGTATTACGGTAGGTGTGTCCCAGAGGAGACTCATCCCAACCCAGGAGCTGGAGAGACCTTCCTGACATACCTTTTGCAGCACGCCCTGCGAAATCGGGTTAACTGACCTCGTATGACTGAGAACAAGCGTCAAAGTGGGAGCGATTGTTTTCAATTGGTGGGGTCCCCCAATTCTGAGCCTGGTGTGTTGACGTACATACAGCCCCTGCGGGGATGTGAGGGCGGAGAACCTGGTCAGGGCCCCGGAACTTGTGTGGACAACGTTCCTTTCCTGGTTGATGGCATCAAGTTTTCAACTGAGCGCCGGTGGATAAAAGCAACCAACACGAACTTGTATAGCTTGTCTTATAGCAACCAAGCGGAGTGACAGTCTCACCGAAGAGAGCAGCCTATGAACAGGAGTTCTTAATTCAGTGCCTCAATCAGTGACACACGGATAACAACAGGTCCAATCCTCTTGAGACCGCTATTCGGTTCTCGTGGAGTCTGATCACGGTGAAGGTCATCCTCTTGAAGCCAGCTCAACTGGCCTGGCGGCATTGCAGTTGGCTGTGCAGCTTTTCGCCAGCTTCCACCCGATGATTAAATGAAGACAAATTTGGTACTAATACCTTGTCTTGCGGTGATAGTCACGTGCCCGGTTAGCTCAGTCGGTAGAGCATTCGGCTTTTACGCAACCCCAAATTCGATCGACAGACGTTCCCCCAGGATGGCTCGAACTCGGGGTCATGTGTCACCGAAATGTCGGGGGTTCGAGCCCCCCATTGGGCGCAATCTTTTGCACCAGAGGCTTGCAGCAATCAACTCTTCTTTTTTATAACTACCGTCGGCTGGTGAGTGTCGTCGAAAGAAGTAACACGGCCACAAGATCAGCTGTTCCGACAGATGGAAGCACTGTAAGACAAGGTAATGAAAACAGCACTTGATACCACCGCTTTGTTTTCTCTGTCTGCAAAGCTGGATGGTGGCGGCGGGTTGTTAACTCCGGCTGGACAATCCTCCTCTTGTGTAAGCATTCCTCGGGTGCGTAACCCTGAGTCGAGCCTGGACCCATTGTCCGAGATTGTCAGCACATGTGGTGCGTCGCCACCCGGAGCCAATGTTGGGCGCATGTGGCCAGAAAATAAAGAAATTGTTGTGCCGAGTTCATCATGCATTGTGGGGGCGACGACTAGTTGACTAGAGGTTTGTCCATGGTAGACTACTGTCTATTACTCACACCCCTGATCAGAACTCGCCTGCCTAATTTAGCCAGAGGTTCTGGGAATTAAGCTGCCGTCGCGTTGAAACGTCAGCTTGGCAGGACAGACCGAATCCATCAATTGTTCCAACAAGCAGGTTTTTTTGTTTTTCTAAAAAAAAAAACTTAGGACTGGGATAGTTAAATAGTTACTCTCCGTTGGGAAAGTCGCCGCTGCCATGCCCTCGCTCTTCTATGCTTTACTTTTGTCTCAGTCTTTCTGTTTGTCAACCCTTCCCTATCCTTTGAATTGATCCACGCGTTTATTTCCAATCAAGCCACTGCCTTCCTTTCTCCTTGCAAGTTCAACCGTCCGGTCATTCTCCACGTTGATTTTGTCAGAACCCCCAGGATCAAGAAATCCCCGAACATGAAATCTTTCACCTTAATCAGCTGCCTCAGCCTGCTCATCGGAGCGGGATGGGTGGCAGGTCAATCGTATAATGACCAAAGCACCACATTATAGTGAGCTATTCTTCCTTGACTGGCGTTGATCTGATTCATATGAGCTGACCATCCATTGCACACTGAAAAACCAGTGTTACAAGCCCGGCATGCGCAAGTTATAAGTGCGAAGTAACACTCCATCATGGCGATAAGCTTGACATCAATTGGCTAAACGTAAACATCTATTATAACTAGCTTCTGCTGAATATCAATTTCGACAGCTGATGTTTTTACTCTCCTTGTCGGTCAATCAAGGCCCCGCCTGGCGATGTCAAGTTGGTGCTCGCGAGCGAGACGGATGAAAAGTCGTACGTCATCAAAGACCGGATCGCCGGGACTCAAGCCGACTGCTACCACGGAGATACTGGACGCAGACCATGCGGCAAGTACACCAAGGTCATTCCAGCCAACTGGGCGTACGGCAAATGTAAATACACCCTGATTCCGCATCCTCACCCCCCAACCTCACCTTCACGTAGCTAACACTGGTGGTTGGTTTGTCGAACTTCGTCCCACAGACTCCGTGCAAGTCATATCGCTATCTAGTCCCGATAAAATCGGGTACACAGACATAGTTACAATTTCCACACCCCGCAATGTGGCTAGATCCCGACTTTACAACTCGCGAGCTGCTTAGGTTTCGGAAGCTCCTCTACCCTCTGTGTTGCGAAATTTTCTTTCTGGAGGAGCTTCCTCTTGAGAAAGGTCCGCAGTCCTTCGATTAATGTATGGACCTCAACACGTCTGTCGTAATTTACAGTTGGCCTCATTGATCTCAGGAGGCCGATCCAAGCCCAAGTAGTACGAAGGATCTTGCGTGCCTTCTGGAATCCATCTTAACATCAAATCACCTATCATATATTTGAAAAGTGTCCTGTCAGATCCTCCCTGTTTCAGCTCTCATGGGGACTACTGGTTATAATACTATCAGCTTGATAGGATCGTCATACACAGGATTGACTCTCCAGTAGAAGACCTACGTGAGTTCTTGCAAGGTTTTGCCCTACAGTTGAGCCAAAGCCTGACTAGTTAACACCAGAACTTCAGCAGAAGTGCTTCCCAGAGCATGAAGGTGTGGTTGAAGTTTGTGTTCAAAACGCCTCGCATGAAAGATTTGGCCCTTTCCCTTCTCCACTTTGATAAATATTGTGTTCAATGGGGGCAAATTTTTCTCTAAGAAGAGGATAGCAATGTAGGTACAAGATCAGAACTTCAACTTGCATGATAATTGGGCTAAAACAATTTTGGGGTTTCCTTGAAGTTAGCCAGAATCAGAAAAAAAAAAATTGTATGTGTTTTACTTAAATAAATTAGCCTCACAGCAAAAAAAAACTTGCTCAACTTCCTGCAGTTGACATGCAGCATGCTCCAGCCAAGCTGTCATCCAAACTCCAC